CCACCTGGATCTCACGGTGGGTGAGTAGCTGGGCCTGGGTTGGAGGGGGCGCAGGTGCTGGACCCTGCAGGCACCTCCCATGCAGCAGAGCCAGGCTGCTGCCTTTATCCAAGGCGCCTTCCGGAATTCGTCCTGGATTCTGTTTCAGCTGCCGAGTGCTGGGCCAGCTGCGGGCCAGGCCCTGAGGCCAGGCCTCTGTCTCAGCCTCTGGAAATGTCTACTTTTTGTGTGTGTTTTAGAATACATACACAATTAGCCTTGTGCTGGTTGTACATACTGTGTTTAACGTGTCTGCATACCAGTACGTATAAGTGTAGAAACACATATATACACAGGGACATATGCTTCACTCTTAAGCCATAGGGGTGGCGGTCAGAAAAGTGAGGAGACCCTCTCATCAAGAATTTCAGGGCAAAGTTTTTAATACAACTATGCTTTTTTTATTTTTTATTTTTTGAGACAGAGTCTGTGGCCCAGGCTGCAGTGCAGTAGCATGATCTCAGCCCACTGCAACCTCCGCCTCCTGGGTTCAAATGATTCTCCTGCCTCAGCCTCCCGAGTAGCTGAGATTACAGGCACTGGCCACCACGCCTGGCTAATTTTTGTATTTTTAGTAGCAATGGGGTTTCACCATGTTGGCCAGGCTGGTCTCGAACTCCTGGAATCAAGTGATCTCCCCACCTCAGCCTCCCAAAGTGCTGGGATTCCAGGTGGAAGCCAACGCGCCTGGCCCGACTATCTTTTGAGATAGTCATTGCCATCAGATTACTCTGCTAAGTAGGTCCTCCTGTGTCAAGACTCAATGGAAATCATGCATGTGAAACATCATTATAAAATGTGAAACCCTTGCAGATGAAAGGAATTAGTAACCGCATAGCGCCTGGAGTTTGTGAGTGTTGTCAGGGCCACCTGGCTCTTGGTGGCTTGAGGAGTGAGAGCAGTCAGGCTGGGTGACAGGGCTGCTGTTGTCACAGTGAATGCCCAACTAGCTATGACAGGCAAGGGCTGTCCCCCATGTGTGACTGTGCCTGGTTCATCTTAGGGTGACTGGCATGGCTGAGGGTGGGTGCCTGGTGGGGCTGTGGGGGCAGCGAAGCCCCTCAATGGGTCCTTTTTCTTCCCTTCTCTCCACAGAAGGGTTCCAGTCCTGGATGTGGCGGGGCCTGACCTTCCTCCTGCCCTTTCTCTTCTGTGGCCATGTGAGTCCCCATGGAGTTTGTGGGCGTCTCCTGTCTGGGCTGGCCCCTGGGAAAAGAAGGTTTTCAGGCCTCACCCTCCTTCTCCAGCCATCCCCATGCTGGGCCCCACAGCGTCCTCTTGGCCCGGCGATGCTGAGGCAGGAGTCAGAACTGGCCCAGCACTGCCCTGGCCTTGGCTGCCTGCATTTCATTTTGGGGGGTGTCTGTTAGTGTTGGGGGTAGCTGATACCCACAGTTGTGGCGGGGGCTGGCCTGACCTGGGAGCCTGGTGGGTGAGCAGCACCTGCCCTCCTCTCTCTAGTTCTGGCAGCTCTACAATGCCGTCACGCTGTTTGAGCTCTCCACCCACGAGGAATGCAGAGAATGGCAGGTATGGGGGGTGAGGAGGGTGGGGGCAGGCTGTGGAGAGGCTCCTGGGAGGGTTGGGGTGGCAGGGATGGGGTGTGTGTGTGCGTGTGTGTAGTGTCCTGGGGTGCAGGTTCCTGGGGAGGGCTGGGATGGCACGTGTGGTGGTGGGTGTGTGTATGTGTGTGGCGTGCTTGGGAGGGAGGTTCCTGGAAGGGCTGGGGCTGGAGCCTCCCCCAGGTGTTTGGATCCCAAGGAGGTTCACGCTATACTGTAGAGCCCTTTCTAGGCCCTGCCCAAGCCTGAGCCTCGCCCCTTCCCCAGGTTGCCTGAATCTCTGCCTTTGCTAGCAAACCCCTGCAGTTTGGGAGTTTGGGGGTAACTGTGCTGGAGGTTCTGGGGTGCTGGGGGCAGGGGTTCAGCAGGGCAGATGCCCTAGCCTCGCCCTCCTCTCTGGACTCCCCCAGGTGTTCGTGCTGGCGCTCACCTTCCTCATCCTCTTCCTCGGCAACTTCCTGACCACGCTCAAAGTCGTGCATGCCAAGCTCCAGAAGAACAGAGGCAAGACAAAGCAGCCCTGAGCTCTCGGCTCCTGTGCCCTCGGGCTGGACTTTAGACTGTGGGGCGCTCCTGGGCTCCTCCCCAGCAGCCACCTCAGGCCTGTGGCATCTCTGGGAGAGAGCCCAGGCCCTGATCCCCCAAAGGACGAGAGGAATGTGAGCCCCGCCTGTCTGCACAGTGTTCGCCTATTTATAACGTATTTAATGCTGGGTCCCCCATCGTCCCTGGAACCCGGGCCAGTCTTCCTGGGGTTGGGTCTGAAGCCTCAGGGAGCCCCTCTGTTCCCACTCTCGTCATTTGAACCCCTGTGGGTGGGGTTTGGATGTGCCTCTGGAGGTTGGATTTTATGCTGACCTGCTACTTACCAGGCCCAGGCTGGGGTGGCCTGAACCCTCAGCGCCCTGTGGCGCCCCTTTCCCAGGGCCACTCTGCTTCTGCTGTGAGCCCCCTCCTTGCCCACCCGCTGCGTGGTGGGGGTCATTTAAGTTCTCAGAGACCCACTGCATCTGCCTCATGCTCTTCTTGCCCCTGGGAGCTCTGGGGGGGCGTCCTGAGTCAGGCTGTGAGCAGAGTCGCCGCCAGAGGGCGCCCCAGGCCGTCCAAGGGAACAAGGACGTTCCTGTCCATGCTTCGGGGTTCCCTGACCTCCCATCTTGCAGCCCACCTTCCTGCAGTCTTGCGGCGGGTACTTGGGGAGTGGGACCAAGACCCTTGGACCCTTTGGAGGAGTCCCACCTCCCCCCACCTTTTTCCTGGAGGTTCTGGATGTTGTGGGAGGGAGGTAAGGAGGCCCTGGCAGGTTCACCCCTGGGGGCGAACCCTGAGGCAGGGCCAGAGCCACTGGACTCCACTTGGGTGAGACTCTGCATTTGATGTGAGGTGGAGAGGCCACCAGGCTTGGCTCAGTGCTCTGCTCTGCCTCCCATATATGGGCCTCAGCTGCCCCTAAGCAGGGCCCTACAAATCCCAAGGCCAGATGTCAAGCAGTGCACACAGGCATGCCTTGTTTATCCCTCCTCTAAGAATTTTAAATTTTTTTCCTTTTTTTTTTTTTTTTTTGGAGACAGGGTCTCTGTTGCCTAGGCTGGACTGCAGTGGCATGATCATAGCTCACTGCAGCCTCTGCCTACAAGGCTCAAGGGAGCCTCCCACCTCAGCCTCCAGAGTTGCTGGGACCACGAGCATGCACCATCATGCACTACTGCTCCTTTTTTTTTTTTTGGAGACAGTCTCGCTCTGTCGCCCAGGCTGGAGTGCAGTGGCGCAATCTCGGCTCACTGCAACCTCCGCCTTCTGGGTTCAAGTGATTCTCTTGCCTCAGCCTCCCGAGTATCTGGGACCACAGGTGCCAGCCACCACACCCAGCTAATTTTTGTGTTTTTGGTAGAGATGGGGTTTCACCATATTGGCCAGGATGGTCTCGATCTATAGACCTTGGGATCCGCCTGCCTCAGCCTCCCAAAGTGCTGGGATTATAGTGTGAGCCAAGACACCCGCCACCCTGCTACTTTTTAATATTTTTAGTAGAGATGGGGTGTCGCTATGTTGCCCAGGCTGGTCTCCAACTCATGGGCTCAAGTGATCCTCCTCTCTTGGCCTTCCAAAGTGCTGAGATTACAGGCGTGAGCCACTGTGCCTGGCCTGACTACATTTTTAAAATGAGATTTCCCCTCCCCCACAGTGAGATTCCACATACAAATCCAGATTTCTGCTTTCCCTAGAAAAATGGACCTGGCAACATTCCCATGGCAGGGGGCGCCTGCTCCCCAGTCACCACAGGCCCCGCTACTCCTGTATGCCTTGTCCTTTGTTCTGGTCTCCTTTCTGGCCCTTTTTAGGTGCCTGCCTTTGCCCTAGATTAGGAGTCAGCTAGCTGCCTGTAAAGGCAGATGGCAACTATTTTAAGCTTTATGGGCCAGGGGATCTATGTGGCAGCTACTCTTGCCTGCAGTCACAGAGCACAAGGCAATGCACAAAGGAATAGGTGTGGCTGTGTTCCAATAAAACTTTATTTACAAATCAGGCTGTGGCCAGATGTGGCCCATAGGCTGTAGTTTGCAGACCTCTACCTTAGACCATTGTTTGTCCACGGGGCCTTGGGTTCTTTGAGAACAAGAGCTCCTTGGTTGATTCCCCAGGGGATGGCAGGGCCTTGGGAACCTGGGTAAGGTGGGTCTCAGAAGGCTTCTTCCCTTGGTGACCTGACTTCTTGGAAGCTCAGGCTTAGCTGATGCCTCAGCACTGGGCTAGGGGGCTGAGGCAGGGGATACCAGCAAGAACAGGGGCTGCATCCCATCTCAGACGACACTAATTCCTAGGTGCACTCCAGAGCCGAGCAGCTTGCGACCCCTGTTGGGCACCAAAATCCCCTGGAATGCTTAAGTCCTGCGAGGTGGTTCATGCCTGTAATCCCAGCACTTTGGGAGCCTGAGGTGGGTGGATCATGTCAGGAGTTCAAGACCAGCCTGACCAACATGGTGAAACCCCATCTGTAATGAAAATACAAAAATTAGCCAGGCATGGTGGTATGTGCCTGTGATCCCAGCTACTCAGGAGCCTGAGGCAGGAGAACTGCTTAAACCCTGGGAAGTGGAGGTTTCAGTGAGCCAAGAGGACACCACCGCACTCCAGCGTGGGCAACAGCGAGACTCCATTCCCTGCCCCCAAGGAAACTGGACCCTCAACCCCAGACCTTTTCAAGGAGGCTTAGGGATTAGGTATCTGGCTGTTGGTGACACAGGCAGTCTGTGAACCGGTTCTGAAACTGTCCCACGCAGGCTGGGAGTTGATTCTGTTAGTTCTCAAAGGAGGCTGGGATGTCTTGCCTCCTGGACTCCACAGGCTGGTAGAACCGAGGCTTGAGGAACAGCAGGTTGGGAGCTTGATGATAGTTAAATGGGCCGGTCCTGTCCTGCCAGTGGGGGGAAACTGTCCACAAAAAACTAGCTCACGACGTGGGGAGCCGATGGCTCTTCCCATCCTGAGGAGTCCCTGACAGTGGGGGCATTGGATGAGACTTCGAGGGGGTGGTCAGATGGGGGGTCCAGGGTATACTTTTAACATCTGAGAGGCTATTTTGTCTGCCCCGTGGGCACATGCTCCCAGCTCTCCGAAGACACAGGCCAAGCTGAAGGTTGATGTCTTCCATGTGGAATGGAGATGGGAGGGGTTGGTGCCAGCCCCGCCACCGGGCTGCAGACTGTGTTCTCCTGATAGGCCCGGCCCCTGTGGTGGCCCCTGAGTTCCTGGGGGAGGAAGGAAGGAGCTGGAGGATACAGCGGTGCCTATCTATCTCCAGAGCCCAGGGAGGCAGGGACATAGGAGTGGCGGGCCTGGGCGCCCATGTGGAATAGTGCCAGGTCCACATTTACCCACCACCAGATGGACTGTTCATTCCAAGCATAACTTGGGTCTGCACTGAGGAGACCCTTGTGGCGGGGGCAGCTGTGATGAGGGCACTTTGAGTCCTGAGGACAGACACTGGCTCCTGTACCCACATCACCACTGCACCCCAGGGGGAGCCTGGAGGGGAGTTTGTGGTCAGAGCCCCAGCCAGGAAAGGATAGAGTTCCTGAATGTTCCAAGAGTCTAGCCACAGGCCCCAGAGACACCAGGAGCTGGAGGGTGGGGATGGGGCAGCCTCCCAGTGCAGTTGGCCCCTGGGGTCCCGGGCCCTGTCAGTGCTGTCTCGAGGGCCAACTGCCCTGGGTCACAGCAGCAGGCAGAGCCGGCGCTTCTTCTGCCGCTGTGTCTTCTTTAGAGCACTGAGAGCCACCTTGGCGGCCTCCCGGAAGACGTCCTCCACATTCTCCCGAAACTTGGCAGAACATTCCAGGTAGAGAGCAGCTCGGATCTGTTCACAGGCGCTCAGGCCCTGGGTCAGGGGAGGAGCCAGTGTTAGCTGAGGGGCCCCTGGAGGTCTCCTGACACCACCTCGTGGGTTTGGGGCTGGCTCTGGGGACTCTCCAGGGGTGGAGGCCTTGGTTTGGGCTGGTGTCTCTCCTCCATCCCAGCTGGCCCTCAGCTTGCGTGGTGGAATGGAGGGCCAGTGCAGTGCAGCCCCCAGAAGGGAAAAAGCCCTGTCCAGGCCCCAGGCTGCCCTCTCTCCAGCTCCAGGCAGGGAGGGGCTGAACCTTGAGGCCGGGTAGGTTCCCCACGTGTGTCTCCCAGGCCTGTGAGAAGAGGTGGAGGCCTCCAGACAGGACTTGCAGCCACCTCTCTACCATTTAGGCAAATGAATTTGCCCTCATTAATGGTTTCTACTTCTTGCGAAAGGTGCTTGTTGCCTTTGCATTCCTTCTGTCCTGTTTGTTCCCTCATGCCTCATCTAAAGAGTTGAATGGTTGATTGGCCCCTGAAGGGGATGCCTACTTTCAAACAAGGGCGGACAGGACAGGACAGTGGCTCAGAGCACAGACTGTGGAGCCCAGCGGATGGGACCAGATCCTGGCTCCACTTCTGGCTAGCTATGTGGCCTCGAGTAAGCTGCTTAGCCTCTGGGCCTGTTTCTCCCCTGTAATGGAGGAAGTGAACAGCACCTGCCTCTGAGTCCTGAGGATTGACAGCAGTCATGTAAAGTGCTCAGGTCCACAGGCCACCAATACTAGCATTTAAAAATTGTCATTCTTGGTCGGCTACGTTGGCTCATGCCTATAATCCCAGCACTTTGGGAGGCCGAGGTGGGCAGACCAGTTGAGGTCAGGAGTTCGAAACCAGCCTGACCAACATAGTGAAACCCCCCTCTCTACTAAAAATACAAAAATGAGCTGGGTGTGGTAGCAGGTGCCTGTAGTCCCAGCTACTCGGTAGACTGAGGCAGGAGAATTGCTTGAACCCAGAAGGCTGAGGTTGCAGTGAGCTAAGATCAAACCACTGCACTCCAGCCTGGGTGACAAGAGCAAGACTCCATCTCAAAAAAAAAAATTATCACTCTTAGAATCCTGCTTCCCTCAGCTCCCCAAAAGGCCGCTAAGACACTCCAGGTGCAGAGGCCAAAGGTCCGGGAGGCTTTGGAGGTCACGGAATCTTGGCCTCTGGCCCACCTGCATGTAGGTGATGGGCTCCAGCTGGGCGGCCCGGAGCTTCCGCAGCTGCTCCTTGTCCTTCCTCAGGTCCGTCTTGCAGCCGATGAGCACCATGGGGGTCCCACGGCAGAAATGCGTGACCTCAGGGAACCACTGTGCAGGGAGAAGGCAGGGGATCAGGACTGCGCTGGGCCCAGGTCTGGGGCCACCACCCTGGAGGCGGGCCTCACCTTGATGAGGACGTTGTCATAGCTGGTGGGGTTCATGACGTCATAGCAGATGAGCACGAGGTGGGTGTTCTGGTAGGACAGGGGCCGCAGCCGGTCATAGTCTTCTTGCCCTGAAAGCAGAGAGCAGGTGGGGGTCAGGGGACGTCCCCTCCCTGTCTGGACTCTGATGGGAGAAGGGGGAGGGGCCAGGCAAGTGATCCTGCCTTAGGGCCTCAATTTCCTCATCTACATAATGGGCAACAAACCGGGAGTGGTGTCACAGGCCTGTGGTCACAGCTACTTGGGAGGCTGAGGCTGGAGGATCGTTTGAGCCCAGGAGTTTGAGGCTGTAGTGAGCCGTGATCGCATTACTGCACTCCAGCATGAGTGACAGACCGAGACTCTGTCTCTTAACAACAACAAAACCTGTGGGTGGCAACCCCTGGGTTCTGGATGGTGGCAAAGAACCCTTGAGATCAAACCCACGCAGTGCTGAGAGCTGGGCCTGATTCTAGGGCTGGGGCTGGAGAAACTGCTAACGCTGGATGATGCCGGTAGCCAGTATGATTCCCCTGACCTACACTCAAGTAGAGCAAAGACTGGAACCCTCCCCTAACCAAAGATACAGACCTGTGGGGCTGGTGGGTTCACAGTGTCCCCAAGTCCCCAGAGGCTGGTGTCTGGCTTCAGCCTCCAGCTTCTTTGGTTCTGATATAGTCGGCTGAGTTCCCTGTCCATTCTTGCAAGCGCTAGGAGGAGAGTGGTGGGTTGCTGGGAACAGCATCAAGTGCCCTTCCCACCCAGACCCACACAGCACATTCTGGGGGGATACCTTAATCCTGACGCCGGGCCCCGCCCCAGCGTGGGCTGAATCTGAACAGGGATCTAGGCTTAAGCCTTGAGCTTGGTTGGGTTTTCTTTTTTATAAACAATGCTTTGTAACTTTTTTATATTGACAGTCTCAAACTTACAGTAGAATTGCAACAAAGTGCGAAGAACTCTGACTGATTCACCGCCTGCTGGCATCGGCCCCTCTGGCTCTACCCAGAGACAGACGCTTCTGTCCCTCCCTACCAGGGCACGGTCGCTGCAGACGTTCTGCCTCTTCACCCCTTAGCTCAGCGCCTGTCTGCTGAGAACAAGGACATTCTCTCACCTGCCCCAAGCCCAGGAAACCACACAGACTCTGCATTCTAATCCAATCCACAGGCCATATTCAGATTTTGCCCATTTCACCAATATCGCCCTTGATTTTCTTTCCCATTTGAGGAGCCAGCCCAGGGTTCTATGCTGCACATAGCCATCATGCCTGGGTATTTTGTAAAAATCCCCACAGTGAGACCTGAGAGCCTTTCAGGCTCATTGGTGACCAGCCCCCGCCCCTTGACTTCCTTCCACTAAACAAGGAAGGTTGGAGGCCCAGGAATCCCCCTGTCCTGTCTCCAGCTGCTACAGGTGCTGGGTGGCACCAGCCTGCCCTCAGCTCCTTCCCTGCCAATACCTCTCAGGACAAGTGGCCTCTCCACAGAGCACCACCAGGCCATGTTTGCTCCTGCCTGCTTGCTGGTGACGACACAGACACCCTCTTCCCTCTGGCTCCCCCTCAACCCAGGGACTTCCAAAAGTTCTTAGCCAGCTCCACCATGGAACAGTGTTTAAGGGTGTAGTCACTAGAGGCAGATGAGACATGTGTTCCAGTCCCAGCTCTGCCCCCACCAGCTGTGTGACCTTGACTTAGATGGACAGCAGTGGGAACCCCAGATTCCCCACCTGGAACATGAAAATCATAAAATGTACCTCACAGGGCTGTCACGAGCCAAGGCACCCCACACATGGGGGCCATAACAGTGTACAGTGAACAGAAGCCACCAGGACAGCGACGGCTGGGTCAGGAGGGCCGTTGTTGCCATCCCTCAACCAGTGTCCCCTAACATTGGGGCGGAGCAAGAGCTCAGACCCGACCACCACCCCCCACAAAGTGAGAGATGTCCTTGTAAGACACTGGGAAACTGGCTGGGATGTTCTTCCAGCTCCTTTTCTGTCCCCAACTGTCCCTTCTTGGTAATCACTGTCCACATCTTCTTAGATCTGTGCTGTCCAACAGGGTGGCCCAGCCCATTAATTAACTTGATGAATTAACATGAAGCATTCAGCTCCTCAGTTGCATGAGCTACATTTCAGGTGATTCATCGCCACCCAGGGCTTGTGGCTAATGCAATGGTCAGTGCAGGTGCATGGCATTTCCATCACTGCAGAAAGTTCCACTGGACAGCAGGCCTCTCCCCGCCCCTACCTCCCCCACACCATCCTCATCTAAGTCCTTGTTTGTCCTCTTCCCTGGCCTCCTGCAGCCCTTCGATGAATCCATTCACCACCTGACAGCTAGATGGATCTTAAAATGCAAGTCATATCTGCCCCCCACAGCTGAAGCACCTTCAATGGCTCCCTATTGCCCCCCCACCTTCTTTTTGAGACAGAGTCTTGCTCTGTCGCCCAGGCTGGAGTGCAGTGGCAAGATCCTGGCTCACTGCAGCCTCCATTTCCCAGGCTCAAGCAATTCTCCTGCCTCAGCCTCCCAAGTAGCTGGGATTACAGGCACCTGCCACCAAGCCCAGCTAATTTTTGTATTTTTTTTAGTACAGATGGGGTTTCGCCATATTGGTCAAGCTGGTCTTGAACTCCTGACCTCAGGTGATCCACCTTCCTTGGCCTCCCAAAGTGCTGGGATTACGGGTGTGAGTCACCGTGCCCAGCCCCTGTTGTCCTTTGTATAAAATCCAAATATCTCCCCAGGTCCACATGACTTCATCCTGCCATGCCCCCTTGCTCACTGCAGTCCAGCCAAGGCGCCACCTCACCGTTTCTCAAACCCATCAAGCTCTCACGCCCCAGCCTTTGCGCTTGCTGTTTCACATGCCTGAAAGGCTCTTCCTTCACTTTTTTCACCATTTTCTCCCCAGCATTTTATTCTTAAACATCCAGACTAACCATTACATTATTTCTCTTTTTAGGATAACTGCCTGCCCTCTGTGTCTGCTTTTATAATAATACATCCTATGCTGTATGTAGTTTTCAGAGTGCTTTAGTCTAGAAGTGATTAAGAAATCCTTGGCTGGGTGAGATGCCTCATGCCTGTAATCCCAGCACTTTGGGAGGCTGAAGTGGGCAGATCACAAGGTCAGGAGTTCGAGACCAGCCTGGCCAACATGATGAAACCCCATCTCTACTAAAAATACAAAAATTAGCTGGGTCTGGGTGGCAGACGCCAGTAATCCCAGCTATACGGGAGGCTAGGCAGGAGCATCACTTGAACCCAGGAGGCGGAGGTTGCAGTGAGCCGAGACGGAGCCATTGCACTCCAGCCTGGCTGACACAGCGAGACTCCGTCTCAAAAAAAAAAAAAAGAAAGAAAAAAAAAATCCTTACATGACAGCCAGATATGGTAGGGAATTATGAATACTCCCACTTCATAGGAAGAAACAGAGTCACAGAAGTGAAGTGAGTTGCCTGAGGTCAATGACTCAGTGACTGGCCCAGGAGTCAACCCCAGTTCATGAAATTCCAAGTGGGATGTTCCTTTTGCGAATACACACGAACGTGCTATTTTGTTTTGTATTGTGCAAAAATAGGTTCTGGGCCTTTAAGATGTAACAATGGGGTTCCTAGTTCTGGCATAACATATTCCCTTTTCCATATATGGCAGGAGTGAACAGGTCCAGTAGTCCCCTCTAAGCCACGAGGGTGGACTCCAAGACCCCAGTGGAAGTATGAAACCACGGATAGCCTAGAACCCTAGATACACTGTTTTTGTCTATACGTACACACCTATAAGACAGCTTAGTTTATGAATTAGGCACAGTAACAGATTAACAATAATAAAACAGGGCCAGGCACCATGGCTCCCACCTGTAACCCCAGCACTTTGGGAGGCCGTGGGCGGATCGCTTGAACTCAGGAGTTCAAGACCAGCCTGACCAACAAAGTGAAGCCCTGTCTCTACCAAAAACACAAATAATTAGCCCGTGGTGGCTCGCACCTGTAGTTCCAGCTACTTAGGAGGCTGAGGTGGGAGGATCACTTGAGCCCCAGAGCGGAGGTTGCAGTGAGCCGGGATCGTGCCACTGCACTCCAACCTGGGTGACAGAGTGAGACCCCATCTCAAAAAAATAAAAACAGAACTATTACAACAACTTGCTAACATCACTACTGTTGTGCTTTGGGATCATTATTATTTACTTATTTATTTTGAGATGGAGTCTCACTCCGTCACCAGGCTGGAGTGCGATGGCACGATCTTGGCTTACTGCAGCCTCCGCCACCCAGGTTCAAGTGATTCTCCTGCCTCAGCCTCCCCCAAGTAGCTGGGATTACAGGTGCCCACCACTACGCCCAGCTAATTTCTGTATTTTTCGTAGAGATGGGGTTTCACCATGTTGGCCAGGCTGGTCTCGAACTCCTGACCTCATGATCCACCTGCCTTGGCCTCCCAAAGCACTGGAATTGAAGACATGAACCACTGCACCCAGCCAGAAGGCTCTTTCAACAGGGAGCAGCGTGGCTCCTTCCCTCCTCTCCTTCAGGGCTCTGTGGAATGTCACCTCCTCTCAGAGACCTTTCCTGACTGCTCTGAAACAGCCTCCTTGGCAGTCTGCCCCATGACAGTGGTTTTACTCATAGCTCTCACCCATACCTGACTTCACAACTGGGGCTGGGCATGGTGGCTCACGCCTGTAATCCTAGCACTTTAAGAAGCCAAGGGAGGTGGATCATGAGGTCAGGAGTTCGAGACCAGCCTGACCAACACGGTGAAACCCCATCTCTACTACTAAAAATACAAAAATAAGCTGGGCATGGCAATGCCTGTAATCCCCAGCTACTTGGGAGGCTGAGGCAGGAGAATCACTTGAACCTGGGAGGCAGAGGTTGCATTGAGCTGAGATCATACCACTGTACTCCAGCCTGGGGCACAGACCAAGACCCTGTCTCAAAACAAAAACAAAAATAAAAAACAAAAAACAGTACTTCTCCAGGTTTTTTTGTTTGCGTCTCCTGCGGGCAGGAACAACCTCTGTGCTGTTCAGGTATCCCTGGGAACACAGGTGAGCTCAATACATGTTTGGTGAAGGAAAGC